GGGGGGGGGAAATATAAAAGTAACAATGTTTCTTTGCATCTCTCTATCTTGCTTAGAAACACTGTGTCAGATGGTTTATTTTTTTACAGGAACAGATATTACTGTTGCTGCATTTACAGAGCAAATTCCGGCTGTCATTTTGACAGTCAGGGGTTTCCAACAAGTGTGAGTGGGTAAGTAGCAGTGGGGCAGAAGGAGAAACACTCAAACTGTCTTTTTATTGTTAGGATTGACTCCCTTGGCAGGTGACGTGGGCTCACTACAAGGAGTAATGAGCCGGTGGCCCCTGGGCTACTTCGCTCTGACTCATCACCAAGTTGCAGCCCCCCATGATCGCCCCTCCAGGGGGGTTACAGAAATAGAGTAGGTATGGTGCGCTTCAAAGTACTGGAGAGCAGGAGGTCAGAGGAGAAGCCGAGGTCAGGGCATGCGGCAGGCATGAACGTAGTAGCTGTCCCCACAAATGATCTGGATTTTCTTACCTGGAGATCCTGCCAGTAACAGCACAGTTTTTTTGCCTTGCAATTAGCAACGGTGTTGTCAGCCTGCTGTATGAGCTTCTTCAGTTGAGTGTTGGGCTGCCTAGTGTTGGAGTGTTGGTCGGGAAATAGGAATTCCACACCCCTGCTGCCCCTCTACTCCCTGCTGCCCAGAGGCCAGGCCTCGGTGGCTTGTGGGAAATCCAGCCCTGATCCTTGTCGACTTCTGCACTTGCCATCGGTGTGCCTGTGCGGCTTTGAAAGTCTCATCCAGTTCTCCGAGTAGAAAGTTAGAAAATGAAGACTGATTGGTTAGTGCACTCCTGGAGGGGGGGGGTGGTATGTCGTGGCCGTTGTTCGACTCCTTATGTTGTTAGACCGGGGTGTCTAAGTGTATGATACTGAACTCCTTTTTCCGCTCAGTATCATCGAGTTCTCCAACTCCCGTCGGTGCTCATGGCATCGGGTGACCGTGCAGGTGCACTGCCACAGATTGTAGAGCTTAATACTTCTCTTGGGTGGCAGCGCAGGCGCACTGATGGGAGTTGGAGGTCTTGACAAGTTGGAGAATTTGATAGAACACTAGCATCAAGCTGGCAATTTTGTAGCAATTTTAAATCCCTCATTAAAGCAATGGTCATTGCCATCCTCAGCTTCAGTCATTCTCCAGACCATTGGAAATCAATGGAAGCCATTGCCGATCAGTTCTTCCTCTTGTTTCTGGAAGGCGTACAAATATCGGCGACAAATTGCTGCGAGCTGTTCAATTTCCTCACGTTGTTTTATTTTCAATTAAAAGTTCCCGAAAATGCCGCCAAGTTGCCGCCTGCATGACCCAGCGCACATGAAGGTTGTACAGATTGTGATCCTGAGGGGGAGAGACGGGACCTGGCTGCCAATTCGGTTGTGCCCGCATTGTATTGGTGTGTTGCCTTTGTTATTGTTGAACAATTAGCGGGCGGCGAGCGGCGGTTTCCAGGGAGCAAATATTAACAACAAAAGCGTTTTCACGGATGATTAGAATCTCATCAGCTGAGCAGCTGTGGAGCGCGCCACATACTGATCCCGTATACAAACTAATCGCGGTGCTGTGCTGGGGCGCCTGTTAGGAGCACAAGTGGGGGTGGGGGGCTCAGACGCACACGCGGACGCCAATGCCTGCGCAATCCATTCTTATAGCAAGATTTGTTACTTATCAAATTAATGCATCAAATTTGCCATCACATTTGATCACTGGGGGGGGGAGAGGGAGAGACTGAGGAAATACTTCCCTTCTGCCTGCAGCAGACTGAACACCGGGGGAGGGGAGACTGGGGAAATGCTTCCTCCTGCCTGCAGCAGACTGATGACATCATCTCAGCCTGGGCAAATTCACTGACTGGAGCTCATGGATGTGTTTTTAATGATAAAAGCAAGGCTGGTCTGAGAATTCAGCTTCACTTGGTGAGCGGAGTGCAGGGATGTGTTTTGGTGACAATTTCTGAAGCTGAATTATTTCGAAGTCGCTCTCGGGGAAGTGAACTCATCTCTCTATCTGTCATAGAAAGGGTTAACAAGCTGTTTGGCACATACCCGTGCATTGCCCCCTGTGACTGGCCGTCTTCCAGCAAGCCTAATTGCACATTTCCGAAATTTGGCAATGCATCTGTGCGGCGGTCTGGGGGGGGACGCTGCGCACGCCACTTGGGCACAGAGTTTGCTGCATTTTTAGGGGGGTGCAGATTGCATCAGCTGGAGAGATCCCGGCCATGGGAGCACGGGGAAGGGAGGGAGCGTGTATAATAATGGAGCCTCATAGAGGATACATGGAACAAATAACTGTTACATTGAGCGGATACAGAGAGCGCCGTGTGCTCCAGAGATAGTCCTGTGTGATCCTTGTCAGTATCAATACACACAATGTATCCATCACTATATACTGTATACCTGCCGGGTGCGAGACACCGAGCCGGGATGTTTCCAGCACGTGAAGCATTACTGTGAAATCATTCATATGGATGCAGGTCAGCATGAATCAATTCCTGACAAATCACAATATACAACAACAGCATCATTATTCAGAACCGCTCCACCCGTTTTCATTACAAAGCCGTCATTGGTCTCCAGTCAGTGACTTTGCCCAGGCGGTAGTGATGTCATCGGTCTGCTGCAGGCAGGAGGAAACATATCCTCTCATTTCCTCAGTCTCCTCTCCCTCAGTGGTCAAACCTTAACATTGTAACTTTGCAGCAAGTGCTAATCTGTGTCTGACCAAAAACTGCGCAGCGCAGGCACCAGGATTTATATGACTGTGTTATCTCTGATCCAGCATCTGGGTCCTGGAAGCCGATGGTGACTCTGGATGGTGCCCTGAGCAAAGATGGTGCCGTCCTTCTGAAGAAAAGCAAATTAAGAGTGTAAGCTCCTCTGGTGCAGAGACTGATGTGACTGTCTCAGTGTTCTCTGAACAGCACTGCGGTATATGTCAGAGCTATATAAGTACAGTATATAATAATAGTGTATGACTGTGGGGGGACATTAGAGTGTAAGCTCCTCTGTACAGTGACTGATGTGACTGTCTCATTGTTGTCTGTACAGCACTGCAGTAAATGTCAGAGCTATATAAGTATAAAATAATAATAATAGTGTGTCACTGTGGTGGGACATTAGAGTGCAAGCTTCTCTGGTGCAGAGACTGATGTGGCTGGTTCAGTGTACTCTGTACAACACTATGGTATATGTCAGAGCTATATAAACGTATA